GGATCGAGCATTAATTACCACAAAAAAGTGCATATAAATCGGTTCACGTTATTGTAAGTGCGGCTTTAGAGCAAGGAATCTCGGGTTTCGCAGCAAAGGAGCCATTGAGGTGCTCTTAAACCTCCTTCCTTTGAACCTCCCCGACACATGAATTTTGTTTTTTTTATATGATTGGTCAGCAAACGAGCATACAGATTACCTGATGGTAAGCAATCAGCGCCGCCCATGGACACCCGCAACAACAGAGGAGTTATAAGTGCGTTGCAGACCTCTTGGGTATTAGGGGATTGGGGGAAGGGAAGGATCGGGCCTCTGGTACCCTCACTCACACGGCGAAACACGAAGCTGGTGTTGTTTCACGCCGGTTTTCTGTGAGGCCGTGGTATAGCTCCGGCCGAGCCGACCCATTCGTGCCGAAACATGGCTCTCCCACACTTAAATTTTTCCTTTTTATAAGAATACTCCTGTATTTTTCGTGTTCCTAGTTATTTTAAAGTGTACCAGTCTTGTTATTATACCTGCATACAAAATAATTTAACGGAGTAAAATTTGCTATAACATCTTATATTTATTTTCAGTAAAGAACAGAGATATTCGAGGCTGTACAGAGATTATCAGAAATTGTGATGTCCTTGGTGTGACCTTGCCATCAGATCAACAAGGGAGGTACATCAAAATGCTGATCGATGACAAAAGACAGAAATGGACCAAGGAGCCCACGAAAACACCATTCAAAGACTTCAAACTCAAGTTTTAGATTTTTTTTATAACTACCATATTGGTCCAGTGTATATTTATGTAAATAGTTGTACAAAATAAATCTTTTAATAGTAGAAATTGTGTTTAATTTTCTTTAAAATTGTGTCGATTTGTGAGTGAAAATTCATCCAATGACTTCCGCCTTGAGCGGTGAGGTGGGGGATAGCTCACTCACGCGCTCCGCCTCCATCTTTGCAAGCTTCATAGACAGAAGAGGCGGCTTCCCAGTTCCTCTCGCACCGCACCATGGCCTCGAATAACGCCGGGCGCGAGAGGTCGCCCCTGCCAATCACTTCCCTGAGGACATAGCGGTGCTCAGAACAAGCAGGGCACACCGCCACCGTGAGGACCACCTAGAGGACACGGTGTATGCTCCACCGTGTCCTTTAGGTGGTCCTCACGATGACGACACTCGGGCGTTTCCTCCCGCCGGATCCAAAACAGGAACCTACCGAAGCTGCCGTGCCCGGTAAGCTTCTGCGTCAGGCGGAAGGTGAGGACACCGTGGCGTCACCACTCAAGCCACTCCTCAAAGAGGGGTCTTACCGCTGCTATAACAGCGTGCCCGAATTCTTTACATCTACATATAAAAATGAGTCGCAAAATTTTACCAATTCTTTTTTTGTTGTGGTAAGCAATCAGCGCCGCCCATAGACACCCGCATCAACAGAGGAGTAACGAGTACGTTGCCGACCTTCTGGGGATTAGGGATTGGGGGAGGGGAAGGATTGGGCCTCCGGTTACCTCACCCAAATGGACAAACACAAACGCTGTAGTATTTTCACGCCCGATTTCTGTGAAGCATGGCACTCCCACACTTAGGTAACGAATGGAATAAACTGCATGTATCTATCTCAGACTAAGCCTATGGTCTGGGCCAATACCTGTTCGTGTGTGACATTGAATGATTTTTTAGTAAAGATTTTGTAACTAACTTAACTGCTGAGGACTGGGTTCAGTAACCATGAAGCTAAAAGGAAACCAGCACTAACGGTAAAACGACGAGGTGAATATAATCCGAGGGGTAAATAGACTAAGAAGAGGGGTAAATAGATACTACTAACTACGACGAATTTTCGCCGATTTCCTATTTATCCCTAAGGTTGACTGGGAGAGAATGCCATATGGCATTAATTAATCTTATGTACCATCCCTTGTTTTGTGTACATTAAAGTTTAAATAAATAAATAGGTACTAGGAAAATTCGCCAACATCTAAGTATTCACCCTTTTTGTGTATCTATTTACCCCGTTTACGGTACTTAATAATCGCCAAACAAAGTCACGTGACCGTTGTCAAACATGCCAATGATAGTGACCTAAATGAGTTCGATTTGTTATTTATATTTATTTTGCCTAATTAGGTATCTACTAACAATATTGTACCTACTTTTAAATCTTTAAACTAACTAAATTATGAACTGTTTTCAAACTGATATCCATTTACCTAACAATTGGTAAATGAAGTGATTATTTCTCGTAGATCTTTGTTTGAAAAAAAAATCTTAAAATCAAAACTATAAGTGCCAAGATTTTTCAACCTTATTATTATATAGCTATAAAGTTGATTATCTATTTAAAGAATTTTGACAGCTTAATGAGCTGGCTTCCTTACTTAAGCGTGCTAACATTAATTTCTCAGCAAGGACTTGATGAAGTAGCTAAGGTCGATCAATGATACGTAGACCAATTATTTTAAACTGAAGCCTGGCCTTTGGCTATCTTCGTAAAATATATTATGCCAAATAATCTACTGAAAGTACCTACCTAGATACCGTCTGATGATTATTCACTCGGTAGGTACATTTTTATGAGAAACGAACAAACGGATCTCCTTATGGTTAGAGCATTTAGGTAGGTATACATAAGTATGTATACCTACCTAAATGCTCTATTTCGTTACCTAAATGTTCTATTGCGGCAAAAAACCGGCAGCGTACTTACGCTGCCGGTCTTTTGGAGATTGTTTAGGATTTGAGGTCTGTGGATTTGTTAATGAGACGGGGGAGGGGGGAGGATTAGGCCTCCGGTAATGTATCTTAAACGAAGATATTACAATACAAGCGATGTTTCTTGCCGGTCTTTTGTGAGATCATGGCATCTAACAGTCTACAGTCATTCGTGCCGGAGCGTCACCGGGAGTCATCTCTCCAGCACTTCATCATACATATGTAGAACAGGAGTACCTGCTGGAGTATCTACATACATAATTATATTATAGTGTATTTATGACAACACATTCGTATTTTCAAAAACCTACTAGGTACATAACACACATGTGGACTGCGGAACAAAAACTTATATACTTACCTACCACTCAAAAAAACTGGTGCCTACTTATTGATGGCGGGAATTGGACTCGCGACAACGTTGCGCAAGAGTCATCAGCCGAGCGTCCAAGCCATCGCGTCAACCGTGTAATTGATTACAATTTTAATAAATTAAATTATATTTAATTTACTAAGTATACATACATACATAGTTTGTTTTCAAAGGCATGGGTTGAGCACATGCCTAATTTTAATACTCAAATACCTATAGGTACCTATATTCCTATAAAAATAAAATCAATGGCAATTTTTAATTTTATAACTTAAGAACGGGCGCACCTGTCTAAACTTTTTAGGCTTTGTTCGAACTATTTATTTAGTTGGTGGTTTTACGAAAAGTTTGTACAAAATCGGTTGATTGGTTCTTTGTTTATTAGATACGTAGGTAGCGAATCATGTACATACCAAGCCGCTAGTATTCCTATATGCAGCAGGTTTTTTGGAATTTAACGAAAACTTCCAGCGAAAAGGTGTTTATTTCCTGTCCATTGTTCGAAAGTTTGAATTGTTGAATAGGTTCATTGACCACCATGTTCCGCATCGAAGTATACGAACCGTGTAGCCTGCCATGATAACAAGTCAAAAAGGTATCTACAGTAGTTTAAGAGCTAATAACCGCAACACCAGATAAATCAAGCTTTAATAAACAGAAGCTGAATGTTTAAAGGTCGTGTCCCTTCCGAAATACCCCGAAGTTAATTCCATAGTTTTACTGTCCGAGGCAATAATTTTAGTAAAAAGCCTCATTGTTACCTGCTAACAGTAGGTAGGTGATGGAGATGAAAGTGTTGTCGCAAGTTCGACAACAGGTAGGAATCAGCCCAAACGACTCCTTGAAGCACTCCTCGTAGAATGCATTGAAGCAGTATTAAATGTCCAACCGCTTTCAAACTCCGATAGTCAACGATTTCAATCGCTCGCCGCTAAGTGCGGCCTAGATAGAGGTAGAACCTGGTAGCCAGGTACTTGTCAAACACTACGAACGTGCATATTTAGGCATTACTCCATAAAGGCCTTGCAGCTGGTCTAAAAGAGGACATGGACATTACAGGTGCTGAGTGTGGCCACGGAGGTTTTAGTGAAGTAAGAATCCCACACTAGTCTTTATCCCCATAAAACTAAGCGCATTCTGAAGGTATGGAAATATGATAAGGAGTTTGTTTCCGAAGTACCTAACAAAACCGAAAAGGCAATGAACTGCTGTATATGTTACCTACGAGTCTTCAGTTATCGTAAATGAGCAACTGTTGTAAATAAAGATAGTACATTATTGTCTTATTAATTAAATATTTTTATTCTTAGATACGTAGGTACCTATTTATTTCGTTTCCGTGTCAATGCTGGACTGAACTCTGGCCTTTAGACCTGATAGATTAGGTACTTATTTGTAGGTATTTATATATTACCTACGCAGTTTGAAAGACTAGTGATAATAAGATAGACTGTTTATAAAGTCTGAGGATTTGAGTTCGAATCTAAAGGACCAGCTTTGATTATCATCATCATGAACATAGACCTCCCGGCCTCCTCCATTCACATCCAGTTCAGATGGTTGGTGGCATTTTGCATTAAAGGGTTCCTACGATCTTTATTAGGGCCTGTTTTTTTCCCTCCATATATGTATAATTTGTAATTATAAGTTTGAATCAAGAGTTTACCTCGAGCATACGTGATGATTAATGCTCAAACCGCATGAGAAGAGGTCTTTACTTATCAGTAAGAACTTGTAGTAAGAAATTAAGATATTGGGTATTGAGTATTGAGTAATGTACTAGTTATGTGACTGACTATATTATATTTACAAACTAAGGTACTGATTATGTAGCTATTTGTGTAAGATTTTTAATAGGTTTTCTTTTGAAACACAGAAAAGTTCGTATGGGGATAGTTTTGATAGGCAAATAAAACTCAATTTTCTTCTTAACGTATATTTATTATTTATTTTATTACACATATGCATTCGTTCAGGTATGTGTGTTGAATTAAAATACACACGATTCTATACAAACCTTAATTTTATTGAGATTTTTCACAATATAACTAAAATTACTAATAATAATAATAACGCTTAACAATAATAAATATTTATCAAAAACGGGTGACTTCGTTTTCCTTCGGCTTCGCTTCGAGCGCTGCTTGTTCACGCTCATCTTTTCTTCGAAGAGTGAAAAGTGCTCTGTGGAAGAAAGAGAAAAGAAATATTAATATTGTGCATAAATGTATCTTCATAGATAAGAACCTACTTAAGATTAATGTGGTGCCAGCTGAATAGATCTTTGTCACCATCGCTTCCCGGTTAAGAACCGTCTAAGGAGCTAGGGCATTCAGAAGAGACCAAGTAGCGCTCTCTAATTTAATGGCTTGTCTCGTCCTGGGTCGGGCGAGTGTGTGTCTCTTAGTGACTAAAAACACCCCGTTCTAACTCCTGCTCAAGGCCTCGGTACATTTATTGCAATTGCCCCGTAGCCCCTAACCCTCTAATAAGCCCTATAATCTCTCACTTACTCTTATTGTGTAGAGAAGACGGCCAAGATCAGGATTAATAATCGTATCAATTTAAAAACGACACGTTTACCACGTGCCTTATCGATGTCCTTCAGAAATCTCCATTCATGTTTTTTCTCAAGTGAATAAAATTATCGATATTGAACTTGACTAACTTGTCCAACCGAACGAATGAAAATGGAAAACAAAGCAATGAAAAAAAATGTAGTAAGTGAACTAAGTATCTATACATTTTGTTATAAGGTATAGGTACAAGCACACCTTTTTTAAATGTCTCTCCATAGGTTGCTTGATAAAGTAACTAAGTACCTACCAACGAAGACAGATAATTTTGAGAAAATAAGAACAATGCCCGAACTAGCTCTTTAAATGACAAACTAATTGAGACACTTGGGTAAGTCGCAGTTATTTACCTCAACTAGAATGGCTAAAATTTTATAAAAACTTGATTACTTCATCATCGCTGTTTTTTTTAAACTGACCAGCTGAAGGTGTTTGAGGACGGAGTTCATTAATAAGTAAGTATCTAACAGTGTTAGATGATATGGTGCAGTTGAAGTTAAATGCAGTAACAGTAGACGTCTAAGTATCTGTGCAGGCAAAATCAGGATCTAGAGATATATATTTTTTTAATGGGACAAGCCTGCCACAAATTCACAAAACCGCTACAACTCCTGTTAACCAGGATCTACAGTAGATTTGTATCTACATGGTTGTCCATGAAAACAATGGAACATTGAATGAATGACTGTCTTGGATCACGCAACGAAATAAATCAGAAGATATTAATTGAGGAGGATAAAAAACGCGATCTAGGCATATATTGAATAGCTATTAGACCACCACAGATGGGACTCAAAAGGGTTGATGTTCAGCTAAGGTTGCCGGTGTGGGTATACCGCGGCTCAGGCCTGGAGCGAAGGGGTGGTTTTTGCTAGTTAGAATTTGACAAATCCTCTTGCCTTACTCCGGGCGGGAGAAGTCATTCGACGATATATCCCACAAACAAAAAAAAAACCATTTTTAAGTTTTTGCTTGCGGAATCAAACATACTAATGTTAAAACAAATATTACTAATCACACAAATGCGAATGTTTGTAAGTATGCATGGAAGTTTGTAACTTTAACCATAAAAACTACTGAACTAATCGAAATAAAATTTTGCAAAAAGATTGATTATTGTCTGGAATAAGACATAGGATTTTTACCCAGGTAGATAATCGAGTGAAGCCGCTCATAGTATATATTTATATTTATAGCTCATAGTGTATATTTCTTTTATGGAGTCGTTAATCACCTCGTACTTAATTTGCCTTTGATTTATATTAATAGGAGAATTTGTCTTCAAAAGTCTTCATTGGCACACAAAACGTATTAACAACAGGTACCTATTTAAAACAACTGAAAAAATAGGTACTCATTTTTTGAGCAGACGTGTAAAAAGTGTTAACCTATTTAAACCGCTTTAACTACTTAACCCTATGGTTGACTAGCAGAGAATGCCAATTGGCATATAGTTCGACTTATGTGCCTTTGTGTGCGTTAAAGTTTATATAAAGAAATAAACCTGTATATTATATATTATAATTTAAGTGTGGGAGAGCCATGCTTCGGCACGAATGGGTCGGCTCGACCGGAGTGATACCACGGCCTCACAGAAAACTGGCGTGAAATAACCACTGCGTTGTGTTTCGCCGTGTGAGTGAAGTTACCGGAGGCCCAATCCTTCCCCTTCCCCAATCCCTCCTCAATCCCTAAATCTCCAAATCCCTAATCCCTAAAAGGTCGGCAACGCACTCGTAACTCCTCCGTTGCGAATGTCCATGGGCGGCGCTGATTGCTTACCATCAGGTAATCCGTCTGCTCGTTTGCCGACCTATTACATAAAAAAAAAACCATTTAAATATTATAAGCATTTGTAAAATTACATATCTAACATCCTTTCTACTAGAATAAAACCATGTTCTAGAACTTTTTTAAACGTATTTTAGTAAATACTACATTCCTAATTTCGTCACAGTATCATTTGTAAGAACAACAGTGACAGATGTCAAAAACAACACAGTGCCATATCTACGCACATAAACTCGAACAAGATTGAAGGAGGATTTGATTTCGTTTCCCTCCTCCAATCTTTTGATATTTGATGTCATAACGTTTCTATTTTCCTATCATGTTTACGACATTCCTAGTTATATCGAACGTGAGACATAATATAAAATATCTGTAGAATATGTAGCTGTGTGAAAATTTCTACTTATATAGATATATACGTAGTATATAGAGTATATATAAGTATATAGAGATGTGGTAGGTAGGTACATTTGTTGGTAAGTGAGAATGTTCAATGCAAATTGTCAATTGTTAATTTAGGATCAGTTCTATACTGGGTTGTTCCAATGTAATTTGGTTTTTCTGTTGGTTCTGATTATTTAGTCAATCTATAGGTACTTGTATAATAAAGAGGTAAAATTTGTTAGTTTGTATATAGGGAACAATCTTTGGAACCGCAATCTAAAATAGCAGAGACTATAAATAGCAATTAATACAAATAAACATGCAAATCACGTTACAAATAATACAAACAAATAAAAATAAAAACAAATTCAATGTTTACATTACTAAAAAAAAATCAAATTTTCCATAATTTACCCATCAATTAGTTACATTGGTTCTAAAAATATCATCGTCAACAAATACTTAAACAAAAAATGTGGTCCGTACCTATTTGATCTTACAAAACCGTTTTATATGTAAGTATGAAAGAATAATAAAAACTCCAATTAACCTTGAGGTTTACGGTGACTAATTATTGATCGCGTTTTGTTGATTCATTCAATGAAAATTGGCACTGCATTTAGTGTAGGATGACCACCGATTGCGATAATTGAATTGGATTGAGGAAACCACTGATTAATGGCCAAAGCTGCATTGGCTATTTTTGTGGGACGAAAATCATCTAAAGGTTTTTCCCGTCCTGGGTTGGCCAAGAAGGAGTGTCATACTCATATTGACTACGTCTCGGGACCGTGGTTTCTAACTGCGTTTTCATCCGAAACTTTTTCATAGAAGATTTTTTTTAATGAAAATATTTCGGGAATTACAGAATTAAGCAAACAATTGCCAAAAATTACTGCAGTGGCTTTTAGAGTCGCTATAATCACAGAAAAGAAAATTTCAATTTCATTCTAAATCTATCACTTGTACTAAGCCCTGTACTAAGTACTTTTTGTATAAACATTGTAATTTTTGATTAAACATTTTTTGCAACAGCATAAACTATAATTAGGTAGCTGTAAATTGAACCATGCATTATAGCAACATGAATACATACATAGATGTGAGATTTATTGCGATAAACATATACAATGACGTCACGGATTTGTTCGTGTGTGTGTGTTAATGGACATGCATAATATAAAACCTATTATTCACGTATTATAAGTCATATAGTGGGACATGAAACTGTAGCCCATCGGGGACTATTTCATACTGAATTTTTTATGGGATAGGTCGGATAAAATTGATAGGACTAAAAACCTGATGGTAAGCAATCAGCGCCGCCCATGAATGCCCCCAACTACAACTACAAAGGAGTTACAAGCACGTGGTCGGCCTTTTGGTTTAGCAAATTGGAGTTTGAGGCAGAGATTCCGTCCAGGATTGAACCCTCAGTACATAAGGACTAGACTGGAAATTAAGCCCGAGTCTTCTTGATCCCCAGACCCACTTGCAACTACACAACCAAAAATGCACTCAAGACAGTCATCAGTACTTACATTATTATTATTTATTACCATTTACACTTAATAACACCGTGTCTTTATAATCGTTGTGTCACTTATTATAAGGAGATGGTAATTTGAGCGATAACCCCAAGACTTTCGCTATCTTCCTTACGGTCAGCCATTTATCATTCACTTGTTCATGTGCTCTATTTACATAATAATAATTAAGCTAAATACTGTCTCCATTAGAACAGAATGTTTGTGATGGAGGTTTTTTGAACCTTACCATATCTGTATATTCTTTTACGACATTTTTTATTTAAAATCATGTAAGGAAGTGAAATTATTGGTGTCAATGACAAAAACAAAAAAAAAAACCACCAAGAGATGCTGGAAAACTCACAATAAGTAATAACTTTGTATTAGAAAAAAGAAGCACGGAATTTGCTTTAGCCTCTGGAATAGCGAAATCGACATTTTAACAGCTGGAACAGCTGGGCTATTTTGGGATATTTTCGAATTTAATAAAAATAAGAAAGAAAGAAGAAAGAAAGAAAATACATTTATTCGGCATCAGACATGAAAGCCAGAAAAAAAAACAAAAATACAACACAAAAAAACAATAAAAAGGTTAAAAAGACAGAAAAACAAAAATACGCTAAATATACAGTTTTGGCAGACAGCAGAACACACAGTGTTGACAGTGTTCTACAGGGCTGGCAGACATGTCTAAACCGAACGGGTCGCCAACTCAGCAAAAAGCTGGGCACACTGAGCACCAATAAATTATCATTATTAAAACATTATCTCAGAAAGCAGTACCTATTAAAAATGTTAAAGGTTGTAAGACCTACCCACAGACCCAATCAGAAACCAAATTCAAAGTTAAACACAAATAAACAAAAGAAAACGCAATCTTTACAATCGACATTACGACAAGAATAAAACAGTTATTTGCTTTGAATTCCAGCCATTACTTTTATTTTACGGTACAACGGGCCCAGGGGTAAGAATAGATATTAATTGGTTTACAAACAGTACCTTCCATTCTATTGCAATAGCACAGAGGTACATTTCCAAGGTTCAGAAAAACTTCCATTATAAATAGAAATCCTCTGTCGTAAAATTACTGTGAAATTATAGGGTTTTAAGGTCATTCATAGGTGTAAAAATAGAAAATTCATAAATTCAAGGCTGTGCTACCGTGATTAGAAATCGGGTATCAGTCGAAATGACAAAATTATAGTAAGGGCGAACTCTCGAGTTGACCACAAGGTCATTTTTTGTTGGGATGTTGTAATGTCTGTTGCGAGGCGATTGTACGTGCAGCTATGCACTCTGAAGTACTTATTTATAACTTGCATTAATAATAGTAACTGTTACCTATGCCTGAATGTGTGACAAAGAGAATATATCGGTTGTTTTCAACGAAAAATTGCAGCATATCTTTTAAGATGTAGCTCTACAGAATTTAATCAATTAAGCATTCCTTTTGGAGTGGACTAAAATGGGAGTAAAACCTTACCTACCAAAGATTCAAACTAAATTCCAAGTAGGATAGCGTCATTTTCATTTAAAATACACATGGAGAACAAAATTTGTTGACACACATGGTTTGGAGCTACGAGGACCCGGATTAATTTTGATAAATGAACCCACAAGTAATAAGGCTTATCAAAATAAGGAACAAAAGTTCACCAAGGGTGTACTTTCGCGTGCCCTTGTATGAGAAGACATGAAAACAGCATTAAGAAAAGTTTGGAGTTAAGTCTTTTGATGAACGTTTTAAAATAAACCGGAGTTCAAACCGCTTCAAGGTTCAATCAAGTGTTTAAATAGGTCAATTAAACAAAATCGATTTTTTACTAAAATTTCGGAAATACTATAATATTAGATGTACTTATTTTTTTCTTGTTTGGTTTATTTATGCCTGCAGTGACTGCTAAGCGAAGGCTTTGAGAAGCTACTGTGGGATAGGGTACAGAATTATAGGCCTTACGAGTTTAATAATCGTCATTCGCGAGGTCTAAAATTCTATAAGCTTATTAAGATCGAGTAATTAGCATAACGTCTAAAATTTGTAACAAGCTATTTCATTAATCTCTTTACATAGCGCAAGGTATATTCCTTCGAATAGTAAAAGGTCTGATAATAATACTTACAAATATATGGCTATGGCAGGAACGGCGAGTGAGGCGCTGATGAGGTAGAACGCACCAGGCATCGTGGAAAGGGTTGAGAGGTACACCTTGCTGTAGACCGGGGAATAAATCACCGGTACCAGGGCCTCAGATATACTTATTAGAGAGCTTGTTTTGCCTGGAACAGAAGAAATAAAAAATGTTATAGAACTTTCTCGAAGTATTTCAAATTTGGAAGCGGCCCATTTTGACCACGCCTACCGACAATCGATTTGCTCGGTAGATGGTCTCTAGAGTTTTTATTCTGTCTCGTAATCCTTTAAGGAAGATAATCACATGCGCATGAGATATATCTATTGATATGTGTGTCAGCAGTGATATTTAAAATAAAAACATAGGCACCGAATCTAGTCAGAGAGTCAAAGGGTAGTCGAAAAAAAAAATCTACCAAAAAGACTTAAATACAGATAATTCTCACACTTCTAGGTCAAAATACATTTTTAAGTGATTATAGATAAAATATTTTCAAATTTCCATAAATTTCAAAGTGCATATGAAGTTCACCATTCAGTATGGTTTGTAAACAAACCATATTTTCACATTACTTACAGCTTAATTAACACAAACGTGATCACAAAACTCATTTAAGACTAGCTCTATTCATATTGATGTTATTACTCATAAAATGGTTATGAATGAACAAGTCTTATTAGCGTGGTTTTAATAAGAAGATGCATATGAAATAGACACACAAGTCAGTTCAGAATTTTGTTTAACAATGTTGTACTTTCTTTCGTCAAAGGCTCAGACTAAAAAGAAATGTAACGGTAAAGGAGAATCTATACCAATATTATAAAGAGGTAAAATTTGTGCGTTTGTGTGTAGGGTATCTTTAGAACCGCTGGTCGGATTGCCAAAATTCTTTCACTGATAGATAGCTACAATGTTCCTGAGTGCTATAGGCTATAAAACATCACGATACGATCAAATGGAGCCGAGCAGCGGGTGAAACCGCGTGACATTAGGTAGTCTTAGAATAAATAGATGTTTGGATTGTGTCATGGGTACTTTTATAAAATGTTTGTAGATATTGGATAGTGTCTCACACAGTAATACAACAGTCAGCCTCTGCACCGATGCAGTCAAATTTATAACTAACTAAAACTAGTTAAGGTTGATTTTTCATTCCTCTACTGCATATTATGGATTTGTACAAAACTTTCCCTACATTAAATTGCGATAAATTGTACGCAAATTGACCTATTAATATTCGGAAATTATTCCGTGAGGTTATCAATGCTGTCTTTACATATGTTCGCCTATTGACATCGCGGTTCGGAGATTAGATGACCTCAAAAACTCCATACAAACTAACGTCATTAGATCAACGTTCGCAGTTTGAACTTGGAACATAAATACGGAAATATTTTTTAATCGAAATATAAATAAATAAAAGAAATATACGTGAAGGAAAGCTTTCGTTTGTAACGCTAAAAGACTTAAACTTATGCATTGAATATGTAGATTAGGCGCTGAAAATATTTTATTAAGTTTACTACAGTAGAAAATATTTATAACAGAACTGAATATTAAAAAGGCTGTGCTATATTATCTTATTTTTTGTCAAATGAAACGGCACGAGGAGGAATTTCAAATTCACGTCACAATTTTTTATGCTCAAGTTTTTATAATGCAACTTAAGAATCATCTATAAAAACTGTTAATCACACGCTTTGGCCAATAATAGTCTGATGCCAAAACATAATGCTAACACATCAACCCTGACCTAATGCCAAACGCAATTCACTTGTTTTTTAAGTTACTGAACAATTACTAATTTCTTAATTGAACACCGATTAAGGAAAGAATTAAAACTATTGTTGAACAATGGTTGCAAATATGATGGTAAACAATCTTTGACCCAATACCTGGGTCAGGGAAAATAAAATGTACCTATTGACTATAGACTTGAGGTATATAATCGCAAAATCTTCAAGAAGTACACTAAAATCAGATAAAACGGCATAGAAGGTCTTAGAACAAGCAAATTTGAAATTGGAATCTGATGTTGGAATATTAATTCATAATTAAATGAACTACAGAAGCGACCCGCTAAAATTAAAAAGAAAAATGCAGCCAGCTAAATAAATGTAGTAGCATTTATTTGCCATCCAATCAGATGGCAAATAAAATAGGTTTTATTTCACCTCATTTTTTGGTATTTCTATGCATATAACATATCGTATGTTCATACTTCATCTATACTTATAAGATACAAAAAGGTATAATTAAGTATGCAGGGGTAAGCTTCGGAAACGGTGCGGTCGAATTTTCAAAATTAATTCACTGACGTATTACTAAAATGTTCCTGAGTAATTAAAGGCTATAAAACATCATGCTACATCAAATACAAGAAACCAAGTAGCTAGTGAAGAATAATAAAATAGCATTCAATAAAGTTCTACTCGTAATACCGTTGGACCACCTTTAACTAATCCAATCATCCTATCATCATCATCTAATTAGTCTGATTATAGTCTATCGATGCGAGACATAATCGATTACTGATTTCCTCACTCGATATAATCCGCTTACTTTACACATATTATTATAGAATAGGAAAATTTCCTTAAATTTTCCGCTAAACAGCAAATCAACAAAGGCAAACACAATTAATTGTCTAATGAATTATACTGTTTAAATCATTTATTGTTGCTTTGAAACTCGTTATGGCAATAAATTGTAAAATAATGATAAGCGATTATTATTATATAATGAATAAATTAAATAGGATCACGGTACATAATATTAATAGCGTATCAGGTATTTTCCGATATAATCGTTATGGTAGTTGCTGGGTAGCTTTATTTGCTTATATATAAACATATAACTTTGTCTCATATTACTTTATTATTGAGGCTGTTATTAATTCTCATAATCGTCATTATCAGTCATATCAACCTGAGTTAGTACAGGAAGCCCTCTATTATTTTTTGTTTCTTTTTCTTTGGCCCTGGTGTGGAGACTCTCACTGACTAAATAACAACCCTTTCTTCTATTGTTTCAGGCTGGGCCCACATCATAGCGTTTTTGGACTAAAACCGCCTTTTTGAGATGCGATAATCATTATGTAACTACCCTCGCCTATGGTGGGGCGGCCGGTTACTGACTAAAGACGACCCTGTTCGTCATCATTCTTTTGCTCGCTACCCCTTTTCAACCGACTTCAAAAAAGGAGGAGGTTCTCAATTCGACGCGTATTTTTTTATATTATTTCTAGTTGAAAACTTTAATAGGCTCCCTGGAAGTCTAAGTCGCTCAAATATAATGGTTATTAATTACTTAGTTACAATAACAGACTACAAGTACTTAAAATTTTTGTTATAATATAAATACTTTGTCTTAATTTTCTGGTAGGGCACTATTTTTTGTGATGGAAAAATCAACAAATGCCTTTTCTCACCCAGCGTGGAATGGGAGGGAGTGTCTGATTCTTACTGGCTAATAACTCGCTCGTTCCTTCTCCTGCTCTAGGCCGAGGCTGCGGTGATTTAAAAAAATAATAGGTATTTTAAAATGTCTTTTTACCAATTATTCCACCACTTATAACCACAATTAAACCCTAATATTGAAGGGTAAACGTTTTTTCACAACAGATTAATTGATTATAAAAAACAATGGATCATAATTGGCTGTCAAAGAATTTCTATTGATTCCTTGTGATAAGGTTAATGAAGAAATTAAAACGATTAACGAAACAAAAGATAAATAGCAGAGGAATTAATGTAATTATATTTAACAGGGGTATGCTATGGAGTTTACCTTATTTGACAATGGCTTTCTAAATCGTCTCCGATTAAAGTTTATCAATGAAACGCAGTCTATTGTATTTAATAATCTAAGCGTTTCAATAAGCGCTAACTTATTACTGTGGTGTAAGATGACAATTTTGAAATTAATAAAGAGATAATCGTTAAGGAAAACGGTGTTTGATTTTTATAGAATATGGAATTTATTGTTTTTACTGCAGGCGGTGTGTTTCTACTCTCTTATCCTACTTTGTTTAGGAACTCTTTGCTTAGATTGGTTCCATAGCCGCGTGGCATCACAGAGGTCGGTATGAATGTATAGCTTTGTTGAGAGGAAGAAATCATCAAATGACATCTTCTGCCCTTGGTGGACTAGAGGGAGTGTAATCTCGCCGTCATAAACTAATACACGGCTAGCTCCTTCTACTGCTTCATACTAGGGTCGTGGTACATTATTATGCTTGCACATTAAAGGATGTCAGACCAAAGATAAATTTTGGATGAATAAGCAAGGTCTCCGTTGAAACGTTCAGTAATATGAACGTCTATGGCATAGCCACTAAACCGACACTTGACACATAGTTCAAATATGGATTGTCTTAGCATGTCTCTTGGAAAATTAAGAAACTCACATTCAGTGGCAATCACACTCTTACTAAGGACGCATTTATGAACGCAGCGCGCCGTTCAGAGCGTCGCGCGTTGCAGATTCGTTGTACATTGCTCGCGCGAACAAAAACATTCGAGCAATGTACGTCGAACTCGTAACGTGCCGCATCCCGTAAATGGCGCCTTAGTAATTTCAAATACAACTCTTTATACTAAATTGAGTGTATACTCCAGAACTTCCTTCATGACTGTACTACCCTAACGTCTAACAAATACAACAAAACAAAAACAATTAAAAAACAGCGTAGGTACCTATACAAACTCTTTAAAACATTTAGACCTCAGAGATATAGCTTCATCGCTTTCTACATCATCATCAGCCTATAAGTGCCCACTGTTGAGCAAAGGCCTCTTCTCATACGGAGAAGGTTACATTAATCACCACGCTTGCTCAATGCGGGTTGGCGATTTCAAACTTATAATTTATGGTGTGTAACTTATTTATATGGTAAACCTGGACTTATAATAGAAATTATAATAGAAATTATAAGTCCAGGTTTCCTCACCATGTTTACCTTCATGTCAGTGGTGTCTAAATAATCATAGAAAGTACATACATATAACTCGGAAAAAGTCACATTGGTACTTGCCAGGTTTCGAACCCACACCCTCAGCATGAGAAGCGGGTTCCTAAAACTCCGGGCCACCACGACTACTACGCTTTATAAAATTCACACATACATAGGTACAAAAAGTATTC